ACTCTGTATGATTTTACTGGAGAATGGCGCGCAGCCGAATCTTACCGATCAGCTTGGCAATACTCGTAAGCTCATTTTTATCGACTAAATTTGTTCGGTTACTTACTTGGGATATTTGGATGAGCCTGTCTTTAAACCATGCAATTGACAACTTTTCCAGTTGCCTACTGCGTCATCATCCTGTGGCGTTCGTTACGTTTTCTGAAAAGATTAGCATTGCGACCGTCACATACTGACGAGGTCCAGTCGCAGTGTTGAGTTAAGACGTATATGACTTAATGGACCAAAACGTCTTATCTCACTCCCTCCACCAACCTTCATTACTGTCTTCTGCACTTGCACATCCCTGCCATCTGCACTTCCAGGGTTGGCCTGAAGCTTCAATCCACTTAGCAGCTGAACGATCCTTCCGGCAGAAGCATTTGGCAAGGCTTTAGCTGTTTCAGGATGTCCTTGGTGCTCTTCTTCGAGTGCCACCATCTTTCCCTGGGTGATTTCACTCGTAGGCTACGATAAGGCGCCTTACGGATTAGAAGATTCCACCCAAATCTTTGAAAAATGGGGCATTATTCGTTATAATTTATGATCGCTAACAATTCCAGATATCTATTCCCACTCTCCGGAGTGTCTGTATGTGCTTTCAATCTTCCATTCAGTAACAGTCCCGGAACTGAATTCTGTTTTTTGCTTTCCGTAGTTGGCACATTCATATTTGTTCTTAGTTAACTTTATGCCTGTTTCTGTGAAGGAGCTGTCCTGTAATGCCAAATGGCCTAGAATTTTTGTTAAAGCCATAGGCATGAGTTGAAACGGCACCGTAATCTGCCTAATCATTCGCCTTTCCAGGTAATTTTATCCGGGTAAGTGACACGGATTTTGAATATTTCTAAATGCGTTTTTAAAAAGAAACATATTTCACGGAAATTTGCTTTTATTAGAAGGTGTAAAATTTTAGCACTTCATACGGCTGTGTTACGAGGTAGCGTGGCTTCTGTGAACGTTTTGGTCGCAAATCCGCAAATTAATTTACGAGCCGAGAACAAAAAGTAAGCATTTTCGAGAATTCACTATTTTAGTGCTACCTTTCTCGAAGCTTAATTCAGTAAAAATGCTAGCGACTTTGCGCACTGGGAATTACCGCTGCTGTACTGCAGAAAGACAAATGTTCGATCCCTGTGGTGAGGTAATCAGTCTCTTTTGATATATTAATTCTTTTGGATGAAAAAAAAAACTTGTAGTGATACAGGCCAGAAAGTTAAAGCTACCAGCACTTCGCCTGTGAGCAGCCATCGGGTGGAGAAGCCGTCAAAATTCTTACCAGCAGCGGTTACTGTTGGCAACCTGTGCTGCATTTTGAATGCCTATCGCTCTCAGAGCAAATAAGGAAGGGATATATTGAGTCATAGGCGAATCCAGGGCAGCCTCTCCTCCCCCTCCCACTTAGATCCGCCAATGTCTTGCATCAGCTGTATTTTGAACAGATAGAAATGGAGCTTCTCAAAGTGCTAACATCAGCTGTAATAGTTCATAATCTGGTTTTCCGACCATTCAGATGATGATTTTTATGCATTTTTTTGCAGCTATGCAATTCAGAAAACACATATTTACGAGGGGTTGTCTGTCTGTCTATCTGTCTGTCTGCCTGTCTGTCTGTCCGTCTGTATGTTCGTCTGTACCGATTTTTTTTCGCTAGCTCTGACCAATGTTGCATCATCTTCTACTGCTTAATTTGTTGTCAGCTCTGACTTTCGTTACATCTCCCACAGAGATTGCCTGCCTAACGGTTTTCAGACAAAAGCATTTAGTAATGTTGGATTATACAAAGATATATTCAGAAATATATTAAGGTTAAAGATATAATCAGGAGATTTTGCATTAAATATGTAATTGGGAGATTTTGGCCCTGCAGTAGGACTGCAAGAATTCGTTGTTATTTACTTTAACAACAAGTGTAAAAATTTTAGAGGACAGAATCCGTTGTTCAATACAGCTGGCGATTTGTCGAGAACAAATTCGCTTGATATATTGCAGATGTTTTTAAACGCAGATCCGGAGTTTCCTTTGGATGCTAGAGATATTGATGGATTTACTGGTTTGTAGTTGATCAGTGATAAATTGGGCTTTAATTACTAACATTATTTCATTGTTTTTGATGAGATATTTACTGTTATTTAGTTCATATTGATAAGTTATTGTGTTGACAGGTTTAATATTGATAACTTAACACTCTCCCCCAATTCCCCCCCCCCCTCTTCCCTCCCTTCCCACACGCATTAACTTATTCCACATGAAATATTAAACTCGAATCTTCCCATCCCATTCTGTTCATTTAATTTTAATTACTGATATTTGATTATCACTGATAAACTATCGGGTTTAATGGGTACTAGTTACTACTACTTAGTTACCTTCGAAAACTTAGTAGTCTCTTTGCTAATTTCCAACTGATTTTGATAAAACTGTGTTTTCCCCTATGCCCGGTATGACAGGAACAACAGTCCATTCGCCCACAGTTTGGATCTCCATCTGTAAACCCAGCAGCTTTTCGTCGACCATAGTCTTTTCCTTTTGCGCATTCGTACCATTCGAATTAATGGACTGGTGAAAGTTTTTTGCGGGTAATTCACTAACTCGGGAACCAGGAAA